TGTCTGCGCGTTATTTGCAAGTAAAATCCAACGTTTAGCTTTGAGGTGCACGAAGCTGTGCCTGCGACGAAATCTGCACTTCGAGGTGCTGTGTCTGGCACGAAACCTGCAAACGAAGCATGTTCTAAAGTCACGATTCACTGCACCGGTCACGATAGAGTGCCTTGAAGATCACCACCATGTCCAAAGTGCTGCGCCTGCCACGAAATCTGCATTTCGAACTAAAACCGTTCCGATCCCTTGCGCCTCTCACGAAAAGTCAACTTTGGACCACGAAAAACGAGGTTTCCCTTGCCTTGCGCGAAAAGTGACACCACAGATTTCTGCAAGCGTGCGCAGTTGAAATGCACGGCGAACAACTTTGAGAGGCGCAAATGTGCTGTAGAAAACCACGGAAAAGCGGGACCGTGCAACTCCGATTAGACACCGGTGCTTGACTACCACCACAAGAACCTCTGGTGTGTCCACACTGTTTGGGGAAAACATATTTACTATTTTTTGGTTTTCGGAAGAGCGCAACAAAGGAGGAGTGAATGGCTGTGGGTCGAAGCTGAGACATTTTGGGTGACCTGCCTCCATCCCCAAACCAAAGTTGACCCTCCAGATGGGCACCCTTCTCCAGGTCACCCTTGTTCACGGGAAAACTGAAATCACATTGAATGACATTTGAATCATGTTTGATCTTATTTGAAGCTGATAAAATCCTATTTGTGCACTTTTTTGCTTTAAAGTTCAAAAACGTGATTTAAAATGATTTGAACATGTAGAAATTGTATTTGCCACTTTTGTATCTGAACGTGAGGTTCATTAACAGGCTGACAAGTAAATGCTTTAATTTACTATTGGTGTTTTTTAGGATTTGAGATTATATTGCTTTTGATACTTCAAGTTTGTTTTTAGAAGAACATGTGAGTTTTATAAGCAACTAAACCTTTGGGCGGTGGAGCCTTCACTGACTGACATTCATTGATTCATGGGTCACTTGACATGGCAGGCGCAAGAAATAAATTTCAACTAAATGCAACCTGACAGATGGGTCACAATTTGCATTCTTTGTCGCTGTTGCTGAAGGGCGCTGTGCAAGTAAGATTTCACGAGACGCAAGATTGGAGATCAATTCATTTGCTATTGAAGCGGGCTGGCCAGATGACTGGGTGATGGTTCGCCTGCGCATCAGGGAAAAGCCCGAGGAAGATCACCAGCGATCAATAATGCATCGATCCTTTCGCATGCTGTGCCAACCCCAGCAAGAGCAGTTCCTGTTCGAAAGGCAGCGGCTGCTAGGCCTAACGATGGGAACAGCACTGTTGTTATTGCTGAAGGGCACAGTGCCACGGTTATGATGCGAATGTCACTGCTGTTCCTGATGTTGATGGGCCCCGCGCCGCAGCTGTTGACGATGGGGGCAGTGCTGTTGCTGATGGGCGCCGCGCCGCTGTTGCTGATGCAGTTTCTGCTCATGGAGAAAGTGCCGATGTGCCTGGAGAGTCGCTTGTGCAACCGTGCATGATCTGTCATAATGAGATGGTGGAAAGTGAGCAAGAGCTTAGAGCCTTGTCATGTGGCCACATGGTGCACTCGGACCACCAGTCAATCAGGGCCATCATGGTTCCGTCGTAGACCAGCCAGAGGCTTGAAAGATTTGATGAGGGTTTGTCAAAGTGTCTGACTGACTGCGTGGTTTGACCACACGCGCTCAGTGATTTTTGTCTTACGAGATGGGTTACTATGTGGGAGAAGTACGTATGTAGACTACAACCAGCCAATTAGTTCTGGTAGTTCTGGGGTGAGTGACATGGCACGCCAGCTTAGATGGAAAATGTGTGATGCTGGATTGTGATTCAGTGTGACGCTTGATTGGTTGATCGAATCAATCAAAAGGGTTTCCCTTAGCCTTAGAGATCAGTGTGTCTTATGAATGTGAACAGTACTTTGAGTTTTGAGCATCCTTCATTCTACATGCTTGCTTGTCAGTGTGGCAATTGGAGGATTTTCTTATTGTTGCTTTTTCACTGAATGGATACTGGAGCTCGAGGATTTTGTATTGGAATGTTGACTGAATACGGTTGAATACTAGTTTAACACTGTTGTACTTTACTTTTCCGGGGCTGGAGTTGCACTTTTTTGCGGGGTGGGGGGTGGGGTGTCACTTTTTTTTTTCGCACTTTTGTGTCACTTGTATGAATTTGCAAATGGCAGCTTTTTGCCCTTTTGTGTCACCTGTATATGTATGCAGTTCAGTGCACTTTTGTGTGACTTCTTTGCGCTTCAGCGCACTTCAAACCTGATTGGTGATGAAATCTGAGGACACATCAACTTTTATCATATTTGTGTCAAAAAAGCGCACAAATCAAACTGATTTGAGCTGATTTGGAACTAAAAAACACCTCGGTCCCACCATCGTGAGACCAAGACAGCCCTGCTGGGTGGCCCAGTGGTGCCTCTGGTCTCAAGATGAGCCTAAAAAAGATTATCTCCGCGCTCCGCGCGGAAGAGGAATAGTAGCGATCAAAGTTTGAATCAAAGACAGACATATATACACGTGTCGTCGGACTTGCTTTTGTCCGGCACGCCTCGCGCGCAAGAGTATTGCCGCAATGGTTTTTGATTTGAACATAACGAACAGTGTGCTTTGATTTGGGGTCTGAGTATGAGTGCTGTTGGCAAAGTGCAGTTGTCTGATGATGATGACTCTGAAGGTTGCATTTCTAGGACATTCCTATGATTTTGATATGTCGTCATCCCATTGGGGCATTGAGCCCGGCGTCAATTCTGTGATCTTCAAAGTATTGATAGACAAGCCTATCGCATATTATTGGAGCATTGAGTCAGGGTCGAAGCTGAAGGGCACTGTGCCAACCTCTTCATCTGGATGTCGAATTAGCAGACTTCCTTTAAATGACGGAGACTGGGCACAAGTTCCATGTCACAGGTCAATGCAAGCATGTGGAGGACGGATCGAAAGTTTGCTACGTTACATGGTGCCCAAAATGTGTCAGCCAAAGTGATGTGTATTACAACTTGTCACCGCTCGACTGTAATCCTTTGCTCTATGAATTATGAATCACGTTCTTTGCATGGTGCCCGCCAAAAGTTGTTGGGCAAGTTGGCGTAATTTTTTGGTGAGCGATCACTTTGAACATGGTTTTTTGATAAAAAAGGGTGTTTGCGGTCCGCGACATTCCTTGATTTTTTCAGGCATGTTTTGATTGCTATGATTCCATGTCATGGGACTCAGACTCAGGCTTGCAGCGCAGTAAATTTCGCACGTGCCAGCCAGGTGAATCACCACGAAGATCAACAATGGATGGCCATGACTTGTTTGATGAGGTTGATGCTGATTGATCTGAATGTCTTGTCACGGATTGTTCAGTTTTAACCTAGACCAAAGATGGAGCCCTACTGCATTTTTGACTGAGTTTGATGTTGCTTGCAAGGGTTGGAATCCCTGCCAGCGCAGTCCTCTTCATCCAAACCCTGACTAGTTTCAACAAATTTACTTGTTACGGCTCCAGTGCTCTTCAGCAAAAATTTGGCTAGATTCAAAAAATCTTACAGTAACAATCCCTGCCAGCACAGTGCTCAGCAAAAAATTACTAGTTACTATTCTTACAATCCCTGCCAGCGCAGCCAAAACGTGACTACTTCCAAAAAGAATACCCAACGCCTTCAGCCAAAACTTGACTAGTTTCAAAAACCTTACTTGGTCACAATCCCTGCCAGCGCAGAGCTCTTCAGCCAAAACTTACTAGTTTCATAAACTTTCAACGAGGCCAGGGGCACAGTGCTCCTGGCCTCGTCGATTATCGTAAAGGAACCGTTTGTACTTAGTAGTTCTTTCATTGTGTTTTGTGAGTTGACTTGTCGCTCGGCTCGTCAACTTATCGTAAAAGGAAATGTTGAGCTTTCTTTTTGTTTGCAAGTTCACTGCAACTTTACTCGTGGACTTACTCGTGAAAATATTTTTGGTTCACTCATACTTTTACTCGGTGGGAAGTCTTGTTCAAAATCATTTCCAATCGTTTTTGTGTCATTTTTACTCTTATTTGAGTAGTTCCTAAGCATTTTAAGTTTTATTTGTGCCTTTTTTTGCTTAACTTAAATCTGATTAACTATGATCAAAGCAATTTCGAAAATGCAAACTAGCCAGGGTGACCTCAAAGGGTGCCCATCTGGAGGGTCAACTTTAGATTGCTGACTGCAAAGGCAATCCACCTGGCTTTGGGGTTTCAGGTTTTGGCCCACAGCCATACATGTGTTTGACTTGGCCTTCAAGCTGGACACTTGATTTCCGCACTTGATGAATTGACTTGTTGACACCAACATGGCTTTACAGACCAGCGCGAACACATAGGTGAAAATGTTTTTTTAAGCGCAAAGCCGGTTTTGCATTTCTTGAAAACTTGTTGCTCAACTTTATTGTGGCATAGTTTTGACAAAATGGCACATGACAGTCACATGTCAACAACATCACATTGCATTGATGAAATGGAGATGCCAAGAGCATCAACCATGTTTGGGACTGTTCGCAGGAGGCGTTGATTTATCAGAGGTTCATGATATTTGGATTGTTTGGTGGTTTTCAGGTTTGCCCAGTTTTGGCCGATGCCAATGAGCGTCATCAGGTGTTGAGAGTGGTGGTGTCCATCTTGTTTCATTGCAGCACAGTGTTTTCTGACAGTTTTTTTTTGTGCTAATCTTTAACGTTGGTGCAAGTTCTGCGTCATGTGTGGATTTTATGGACAGTGGCCAAGCTTTTAGTTTAACCGCATGACACAGAGGACAAGGTGTTGATGTGCCCGCATTTCAGGATGCAAGGCAGAAAGGGGGAAGCGATGCAGAAAGCCAAGTGAAAACAATAGGCAGCCAAGTAAAAACAATAGCATTGGTTTCATGGTATCGTGGGAGGTGCAAAACAGCGGCGTTGTGACATTGATGCCAACACAATACCAACCAAATCAAACTTCAATAGTTTTTCCGAATCCAATTCGCATGGTCGCATGGCCGTGCTCATTCGCCACAATGTCGGCATCGGACGTGTTTCCTTTGGCCGAATAGCTTGCCGCAACCTTCACAAGGGTCATGTGACTCGGCTGTTGGGCGTTTAACTCAATTTGATTCCTTCAACTTCAGATTTTGTGCGAACCAAGCGAGACTTTGAACCAAGGTAGGTGCCACGTTGGAGAAGCTCAACTTGCCACGCCATCATTGGCTGAAAGAAGTTGAGCAGGCTCCAGAAAAGGCAACAGTTCGGAGGACAGTTGTTGTCGGGGTTGTTTGGGAATGGTTAAAAATATAAGTTCCATCAGGAGTTTTGTCTACAAATAGTCAGGATGAAGGACACCTATCTCCGAGAACTGGGGGAAGCGCGAGCAGAATTGCAAGGTCTATTTGGTTTCTTGCATTGCAATACTTTGAGAGGTTCGTGGTTTGTGGGGAGGATTGGCTGAGAAACTTTTGTGCACCTACTGCTTGTTTTCGGATTCTTGAACAATTTTGCTTGACCTAGGACCAGAAGAGCGCAGCGCTATAGTGAAACCAACAGTCCAGGAAGAAGAGAGAATACGTGACACCAAGAAACGGCGGGAACTCAACAATGAGGCGCAACATTTTAGCTGAAGGGGTAGTTCGCAAACCAACGTTGTTTCTATTCTGTTTTTTTTGTTCGTTTGGTCACACGATTCTTCGTGTGATAGCAAATGCCATTTGTGCCTTTCAACACTGCATTATTATATAGTTAAGGTTTACTTGCACCATAGGCGCTTCGGGCTTACCGCATGCTGCGCCCACAAGCAGCACCATTTTATGAGGAAGACGCGATGCTTGGTATGAAGGCAAGTTCAGATCATCCAGAATAAAGTAGTTTCAGTGAATTTGTGCAAGAGTTTGGGAGACAAATTGGATCCCTGGTGTGAAAGGCCAAGATGAACAAGATCACAAAAGAGGAGGGTGACAGCCATTATTGAGCCTTTCGTTACCCAACGACAATGGCATTAACATATTTTTGTAGACCCCAAACTATATGTGTTCATTCGGCAAAAGAAACAGCCAATGTGGTCACCGGAAGTAACATGTATAAATCGGTCCTGTTGAAAGAGAAAGGGTTCACTGCCTTACCAGTTTCTTCTGAAACGCCTTGCCTTGCGGTCTCAGAGACTGTCAATAGAATAGAGGCATTGTTGTTCAGGACACGAACTTGCCAGACTTGCCAGAGTCAGCTAAAGCCAACGAGTTTGTAGATCCTTTTCAGCAGTACCTGCCGGTGGTGAACCAGAAGGCGGCCACAGATAAATGCATGTTTTTGTGGACTGCTGATTCAACCTGCAATGCCGCCTCTTTGAACTTCTTGAAAGGCCTTTCTTTTTGCCCTAGAGTCGGTCACAGCGTCTTTGGCAAAGGCAAGACAAGTTAAGCCATTGCAATGTGGATCATCAGCAACCCCCAAATGCACTCTGGTGCTGGCTCATGATTTTGCGTACCAGCTGAAGTGAAGGACCTTCGAGTCCTTTGCAAGTGGATCCACGGTCCCGACAGTGTATCTGAAGAGGATGGTCCCCAGGCCCTTGGTTCCTCGGAGATTTTTAGTTTTTCTTGCTGCTACCTTTTGCTTTGGACCCTCTTGCTTGGATTGAGGCTTGAGCCTAGCTAAGGATTTCGGAAGCTTGTGGATAGACTGTTCGATCTCAAGCTGAAGAAAGATCCTGATGCTGTTGCTTGCCAATTTTTGCATATTGATCAATGTCAACAGATGTCAATTGTGTCTTGAGGGTTCTGCAACTTGAGAGTGACAGGTTAAAAACCTGAAAACTGTGTCAAATAAGTGCAGCCCGCTGTGCGCAGGCTGCAGGATGGGTTGAGAAGCACTGGTCTTTGCTGGAACAACTACTTCCGAAAGAGGTGGTTGCACCAAAAGAAGAAAAAGAGCGTGGAGCTTGGACCAGCTAAGCAGAGTTTAAGCTGTGGGTGCTGGCAACTCTGAGGGAAGCTATTGCAAAATGGCTTGAAGGTCATTTGTCGTGCTTGGGCAAGCATTTCAAGTCCATTCATCTTGAGTCTTGGGACAAGTTTTCCAAACTGGAAGCACTGGATCGTGCTGAGGCGAGTAAAAGAGAATCAATTGCGATATGAGGAAACTGATCAAAAGCTCTTTGGCCTGCTGATCGGTCAAAATCAACTATCGATGTTAGTGTTCGTTGAGGATTGAGGAAACTGAGTTTTACATCATGTTTGGGACAAAGGATCTTTCTCCATAGAGAGAGGAGTGCCGCAGAGTATTACAACTTTGCCGAGGAGCTTGTGCACAGAAACGTTCGTCAGAGGATGCTTGAGTTCTTCTACTGTTGTGTGAAGGATTTTCCATATGATGACGACCCATTGCCTGGCTTGCTTGCTGATGAGCGAAATTTGGACTTCCCCCTTGAAAAGGCCAGTGGGCTGTATTTGCAAGTGCAAGTGGCTGCAAGTGTATGTACAGTGTAAAGAAGGAGTGTGCACTGTACCACTGTACAGTGTCTTTGTACAATGTAATTGAAAGTTTATGTACTGTACAGTGTATGTAGAACCAGGGAAAACAGACATAGTTAAGTTGACTTAGAATGCCGTTATGGTCTCTTCTCGATCTCCACTCTGCAAGGCCACGGAGTTCATGCAGCTCTTTCTGAGGATAATTTCCAGCAGCAAGTGTGCAGATGATGCGAAAGGGATCTTGGGAGAAGATACTCACCAGCACGGGGGTCAAGATCAGGGTGGTAGTTGTCTTGGTTCCAGAGCTTTTCCATTTTCTTTCTTCCTTTGTGTCTGGTTGAGATGTGTGCATCCCCTGTCCACAAAAAAGGATGGCACAGTGGTGGCGGACGTGGCGAATCAGTTCCAGGAAGCATGTGTTTGACTCCGACAGTCCGACAGTAGTATTTTCTTAGTCTGATAAAAGATCCGCTAATTGCCTTGTGAAGGCGCCCCCACTGAAATGGAAAGAAGATGAAGTGCACTTAAGAACCACAATGCATATTTGTCTTGTTCCTTCCAGATAATAAACGATCAACGATCCAGCCGCAACCACAGCTTTTCTTGAGGACTTGGTCTGGTCGCTTGAAGAGATTGGCTTGCGTCACATGCCTAGCATGCTTTGGTGAATTCAGCTAACTCTTTTTCGACCTTGCTGGCTTCTCCAAATTCTGCTGAGGAAATTGGCTGAAGATGGACTTGGATGAGTTGAGGAGGAATCTACCCCAGGGTCCTTTGTCGCCATTGACCCTGTCTTCTGAGATGCCTGGCAGAGGAAATTAGGACTGAAGAGGTCCATGGGTGCTGACAGTTCTCTGTTCACCAAGGAATGCAGATGATTTGAAACTTGAACCAGATGATGCGACTGGGCCAGCAAAAACACATAATCTATAAGTTCTAGAAACAAAAAACTCTTCGCCCTCTCGTCATCCGATTCACTTTCTCTATTGATTTTGCAACAAAGGTAGAAGTGGCAAAGACTATGCTCAAGTGCGCGGCCCGGGGAAAGGCCGACCTTCTCGATTTCGAGGCAGGGCTGCCTGGCGCTTCGTAAAGCTGTGAATGATTAAGATGACCTTCTCAAGACAGTGTAGGAAGACTTTTGTTGCATGTGAATTCCAAATGCACCGAATGCATTTAGCTAGGCCTCAAGATTTTCAATCGATGTGTATCAGTTCAACAGGCCGTCGACCCTTACAAATTGCTATGCGGAAAGCCTCCAAATGTGGACGAGTTTCACAAGGAGCTCAGTGGTCTTCCGGAACCTGTGCTATGAAACTTGGACAACTAGCCTCCAACCTACTAGCGATGCGATGGCCTACAACCTACTAGAGATGGCCTCCAACCTACTAGCGATGGCCTCCCACCCACTAGCGATGGCCTCCAACCTACTAGCTCGATGGCCTCCAATCTACTAGCGATGGTCTCCAACCTATACTAGAGATGGCCCCCAACCTGCTAGCGATGGCCTCCAACCTACTAGCGATGGCCTTCAACCTACTGCTCGAACCTACTATAGAGATGGCCTCCAACCTACTAGCGATGGACTCCAATCTACTAGAGATGGCCTGCAACCTACTAGCGATGGCCT